ATAGGATTGCAAAATCTACATGCACAAAACTATGCTGGTCAATTGTCTCTGGCAATATGTAGCATGCAACCAAGAAAATGCCTGCGGAGTTGCTGCTTATAAACTAAGAAGGAAACACTAACAGGTCTACACTACGGGGCTAAGTCGACCTAAGGTACATCGACTCCAGTTACATTAGTCAAGTAGCTGGAGTTGCATAACTTAGGTCGACTTAGCCCCGTAGTGTAGACCTGTTAGTGTTTCCTTCTTAGTTTATAAGCAGCAACTCCGCAGGCATTTTCTTGGTTGCCAGAGACAATTGACCAGCATAGTTTTGTGCATGTAGATTTTGCAATCCTATTGGAAAACAATATTCATTAGTAGTGTAAATACAAACTTGTGTTAGCCACATGGTCTGTCCAGCAGACCAGGAGCTGTGGGTACCTTGTACCATCACAGTCCTCTTTGGGTGGACTTTCTGTCACCTGATGCTTTACACCACCTTAAACCAGGGCTGAATCTGGCTGTACATGTGTAACTGAATACCAAATACAATAGGTGTCCTTTTTTTTTTCTCCAAGTGATTTCCTGTGAATATTAATGATCGGTAAAAGAGGAGACAAATGACTTCTCTGGCTGAAAAATTATTGCATATTTGAACCAGGATCAATTCCTGGTTCCCTTATATATCCCATTAACTGAAGTAAGACGTGGTTTTTCAGAGCACCCACCTGCTAGCTGGAATGATATTTCAAAGAGAAGATTAGAACTGAGTGAATAACTGTTTGGTTTTTTTTGTTTGTTTGTTTTTGGGTTTTTTTTTGATTCAGTGGCCGAAATCTGGTGGGGGGGGGGAATTCATTTCAGTTCAACTCAACACGGAAATGTTTTGGTTTCTCTGGCTGAAACAAACAAAAAAAAATGGGATCAAACAATCAAGCTAAAATGAAATGTTTGATTTTTCATTTTGTTTTATTATCATGTATTTTATACATTCACACCTTTTTAAAAAAACAAGCTCAAGATTTCAAATAAAACATTGGAAACAAAAGGTTAAAATGTTTAATTTCAAAACTGTAAAAA